ACTATTACTTCAAAGCCAGCTCGTTCTCCAACACCTTAGGTGTTTTACGGAGTTTGCCCTTCATGATGGCCCATAGCCCATAAAAACAACATTGTTGTCTCTGTACCAGTCTAACACCGGCCGCATGTAGTGGCAGGATGCCGTCCAACACAGTATCTCGCTTTCGTGGAACTAGTACACTAATAGAATTTCACATATTTTTATTGACGAATTTCTATGTAAAATTCCACATGATTTTCATATAAACAGAATCCACCCAAAAGCACACATGAAATTCAAGAGTCAAATATATAATATGTGTGGTTACTTGGCTTTATATAGCATAGCATTGCATAGCAAAGCATAAGCGATTGCACAAATCCTGGGGGGCTATATAATGGTCAACCAATACATTTTGTAGAAAATATCGTGTGTTGCCGTGAAAAAAAAACACTTGGGACTAGTGGTTTTTCCCAAGCATTAAAATCTACAAATCAAGCATCGCATTATACACCTGGTCACATCCTTACAATCGCAAGGGATAGAAAGGAAAATTAGTCCAACATCTATTTAAGAAGGTGCAGGGAACCCATACTACCTTCATAGATGCCACGAGAGGGAACATTTGTGTCCGTGGAAAATGGAATATATTTAGAATAGAGATTAGCAATATAAAGTTAAGGTTATGTGAAAATGTAAACAAATTTGAATTAATGCAAAAAGAAAGATCTCATCAAAATTATTTGCTATAAGCCTGTCTTTCCATGTTTTCGAAGCTGTTTCATGCATTATCCTTGCCAATACTCTCCAGCAACCGTTTTCTTTTCACACCGAAGCATTCATCACTCTTTCGCCTGCGCTACTGTATTGGAGGCAAACCGCAGGATTCACAGCAGAATTTGCAGACCTTTCAGTGTTTGGAGTACATCTGATCACTAACACCATCATAGAACGATTCATATTGTTATGACGATCTTCAACTATCCATAAATTCAAGTCACGTTTCTCAGATATGTTACACATGTTACAGGTTACACATGGTTTCTATGTGTACACATATTAAGTACACTCAGAACATATTAATTATTTCATTTATTAAGCTAAATTATTAATGTTTATGTCCAAATGTCAAATTCTTGTCATGGGACAATTTTTTTTTATAAACCTTGAACATTTAATTCATTCACCTTTCACATATCTTGTATTTGTTTTCCTAATCAAAAGTATAAGACGGCTAGTGTTATGGCTAAAATTTATATGGTTTGATTTATTCTTTGGTTGTGGTTTGGTTTTGATTTTTTTTTCAATATGTCCACAAGTATTTCGTTTGTGGTGTTGAACGAGTTGCAGTTGTCTGTGGAAGTACTGCAAAGTTTGATAGGTGAGTTGGGTTAAATTATGTTCAAATAAATCACTTTACTCCGAAGTCGAGGCTAATGACTGTTTAAATAATAAAAACACTTCTTTTTTGTCTACAGAAAACGACATTGATTCCGCGAAACTTTCAACATTCAGTAAGGACGAGCTGGAGTAAATTTTCAATCCGGAAGATTGGAACACCACCGAAATTTTTAATCGACTGGCTATATGGGGGTAGGATAAGGTAAAAACTCATTAATGTGGTAATATATATAAAAAATAACCACTGGGATTTCAATTTCTAGAGTTTGAGGAAGTCGATCTCGTTGAGAGTGAAGCATCAGAGCAAGCTGAACCTAACGGTGTTTTTGAGATTGAAGAGATTGAAAAGGAGAATTTTGTCCTAGATGGTCATGCGAAACCAGAGATAAACGATAAAGTCAAGGAGCGTGTGCCATTGAGGCAAATTGAAGGCGGTGTCTCAGGTCTCTCCACCAAAGTACATCGGAGCTGGAAGCTTTTGAGAGTGATCCCGCGACTGAGGCAGCTATGCAGTGGTTGGATCAGAATAGAAATCCGTGGACAACAGCCTTAGATAAATGGGAACTTTCGTACCCCATTCGTAAGTAGCAGCTTGGAAACAAGAAAATCATAGATGAATTATATAGGCACTACAAACTATACCATGAGGAGCACGGATATCAAGCGGTGAGTTTATGCGGTTTTTTTTTAAATAATATATGTAGTAGTTTAAGATTAGAGGGAGCTTACGGATGATTCTTAGTAATTAAAAGCCGTATAGACGCATAGTTTACATGAAGTTCGATCACAGATATACAAACAAATTTATAAATATATATTAAATTTCACAAATTTATTAACTTCCACCCAACAGTACGATTAGGTATTTGATTAGGAAAGACAATTATATCGTCGGGCTATCTTGAAACATAAACGATTAGTTAAACGTCGATTTCTCATGAATGACAACATATCCACGCAACTAACTACAAAACACCCTGAAGGCCCACGCACATTAGATCCGGATCGGACGCGTGTCGGCAAAGTGACAGCTAAATCTATTGTCTAACTGTCAAATTTACGTCACCGCAACGCAAACGGATCTAATGTGGGTGGCCCTTGATACACGCTAACTTCTGCTTACTCACCAGGTGAGTCGAACGTGCTCACTTTCGTGGAGTTGTCAAAAATTGAGTAAACGAGAAATGTCAAACTGAGTAAAAGCCACTCAGTCAGCAAAATTCTGGACTTGGAAAAAATGCCAGTCATGTCGGAGGAAACCTCATAGGAAATGTTACTCAAAACCGACTGAAATGCCGTGAGGTAAGTACGAATTGCTTAGGAAAACGGTGTTGAAGCATTTTCTGCTCCGGTAGAATGAATCCGGAGCATGCAATTACCATTTTCTTGAATAGAAATCAAAACAAAAACCCTCCCGCTACTGAAAATACCGCCTAGTGGACTTGACTCAGTCTACGTGAGAACGTCGTTTACTCAAAAGTGAGTCAACATAAGGCTACTCAATTTTGAGTAGCCATACTTGCCGCTGAGATGACTACATTCGACTCAATTTTAAGTTAACCAGAATAAGCGTGTAGAGCAGACTTTAATGTACCGGGTGGTGTAGTCAGTCAGCGTGGGTGTGCTGTGAGTCGTGAGAAATTGACCATTAAAGTAATTCTTTACGTTCTGAGTAAGGCTCATCTGACTTGTTATTGATCGATACATAAATACCTATAGAACTTGAATCTGTACTGCTGCTGGTAGGTGCACAACACGGCCAATCATACCAACTCAGCGACTGAGATTTATTGACTCAGAGAATTTTCGTTCCATACGAAATTTAATCAGATTTGGAATAAACTTCAGTTACTCACAAGCTATGAGTAACTGCAGTTTATTCCAAATCTGAGTAAATTTCGTATGGAAAGAAATTTCTCTGAGTCAATTAATCTCAGTCGCTGAGTTGGTATGATTGGCCGTGAACCAAACTGATACGGTAGTTGTGATCGTCAATCTATGCTCTGACTAGTATGTATAGTTTATCCCGTTTATCCAAATTGGAATCATTGTGTCACTTATGTACTACATTCCTCCGAAGAACACGTTACCCATTGATTTCTACCCACCGCTTTTCCCGGCGGGTTTTCAATCAGCCAGTCTGTTGCATGTTAGTAGTGTCAATAGAGAACTAGTCAATCGCAGTTCTTCGGGGGCAAAGCTGTATTTGGCAGCACAGGAACATGCGCATGGATTGTTTACTGTCTGGGATCTGTGGTACTACGTTCCTGGTTGGCATAGTTCGATTCCGTTCCTGTAGTTGCACTGTAGACAAACTATCCGATACTGTTGGAGTTTTAGGTCAGAGCACTTAATACCTGCCTGTTAGGAAAAAATCGAATGGCTAAAAAACATTAAAACTATTTATTTAACTTACTAGAGAAACCAGCAACTAGAACTATCCAATAAACTATTCCAATCTGCTAGTACCAGAGCTTTTCAACGATTCCGGCATTACAAATTTTTATAAAAATAAAACCAAAACTCACCTACGCACTAAAGAGCCTGAACTTATTTTATTTCAAGCTGAACATTGCATTAGGTCCTAAGTAACATTGACAGATTCTCTTCGTCGACTTTCTCTTTGCATCCCCACGGCCATGCTGACAGATCGATAAAATAAGCTTTTATGTAACATCTAATACGTCAACCAGATAAAGAAACGGTTTTGTGCTCAAAGTTTTAAACGAAATAGAAAGTCGATGAAGAGAATCTCTCAATGTTACTTAGGACATAATGCAATGTTCAGCTATTCTCACTGCACACTACTCAAACATCAATTCAAGCTGAACATTGCATTAGGTCCTAAGTACTAAGTCCTAAGATCGATTCTCTTCGTCGACTTTCTATTTCGTTAATAACTTGAGCACATGCCCGTTTATTGTTGTAATTGTCGTATTAGATGCTAGATATAAGCTTCTTTTATCAATCTGTGTGCTAAAAATACCTGGGAATGTTTTTACATGGCCGTGGGGATACAAAGAGAAAGTCGACGAAGAGAATTTCTCAATGTTATTTAGGACCTAATGCAGTGTTCAGCTTGAATTCTGAGGCTCGTTCTTAGGCCCAAACGCAATGTGGGCGGACGCGAAACGGAAACGGCATGTTTGACAGTGGACACAAATGACATCAAGATGCCTTACCGAAGACGCTTGGATTCTAACTATTCAACAAGAAGGCTTACTCAGATCGGGCCAAGGTGGCTATATATAGGTGTTCTAATGTGTTAAATTCATGATTCAGCTTCAGTTACAATTTGCTCTAAACCGTACTTCCCGGCCCCGCGACCTCCTCGACCATATAGTGATAAAGCTGTATCACCATGGGTATATACCCACCATGGATTGGGCTTTTCTGCTGTCGCTGCCGTTTTGCTTCCACTATCATTGCGCTTGGGCCTTAGGAGCGCAGTTTTCGTGCTTTATTTTTGTGCATTACGCACCTAAGGAGTGTAGTGTAATTATAAGTATGTAACAAGGTATGGATGTGCTTATACAAGTGCGCTTTTATGTTGTCAAGCTTCGTTAAATTATACATATTTTTTGCTATTACAACATATATGTTTTCTATTCTCTTCGAAGATTGACGTTGATTTTCGGTTGATGTATGGTATCGACGATGGAGTTAAGAAGTGGAATTTGGCGTTTCCAAAACTGGTGAAATACCTAGATCGACCATACAAAGACGATTTTTCAAAGAACATTCTGGAGTGCCTAACATCTCCAGAATCTGACTTAGGTAAGTGACCTGTTGTTATTTTTATTTAGACCTGATTCGAAGTGAATTACTTGTATTTTTTATTTTAGATGTTAAAACTTGTGCCGTTCTCCTGCTCCTGAACAATGTTCTAAAACCAACAAAGGTAACTCGAAAATTTAAGCCATCGATTTTGGCAGCTCAGGAAGAAATCATATTGTTTGCGGCATCAAACGACTTGGCTACTGGCGTCTTCACTAAATTTAACGAAGACTATTCTAAGTACGGATTTCAACCGGTTCCGAAACTGATATTCATCGGCGAAGGTATTGGCTCTCTTGAAGGGGAGTTTCAGGTACGTTTTCAGGACTTCAGTTATCGATTCGATAGTGCAAGTAGAGCCATAGATGTGCTGGTTAAATTCTGTGGAGTGTTTGGTCTGGAGCATTCTCGTATTTCAAGATTGGTTTGGCTTTTTATATCCGCGTTCTTCTACAACGTTCCAGTGCAGGAGCAGTACGAGTGTATTAATAGTTTAAAGGCGTATCTTTTGAATTGAACATGTTTGCTTGCTTCATTGTTCAGTTGCTTTAACATTAGAATTACACAATGAAACAAATAAAAGAAAAGCAAGTCAACTAAAGGCTAGTATTGTTAGTAAGGTAGAAGAAACTTTAATCAGAGACAGAAATCCGCAGACTGATTTTGAAATGCACAAATACATGGAACGGCTCAAACAACCGTTCGATTTCATATACTCCGATTATAAATTTTTTAAGCATTTAGAGAAGCTTGATATTTTCCGTTTTCCCTTCACAATTGCTACTGATAAAGATCAAACATCTGTTAAGTTGTGTCAAGACCAGGAAATTGACAATCGAAAAGGTCATATTGTTTTGATGGATGTTGAACATCAATTAAAAACGTTTTTTAGTTGTGATCGCATTTTAAAAGAAACCATTTCTAATACTATTACTCTAGAGAAGAAAACAGCTATAAGTAAAATTGTTGACGGAAAAATGTGGAAAATAATTAAAAATAAGTATCCAGGAGAAATTTTGATTCCCATTTCCTTATATTCAGATGAATTTGAAGTGAACGATTGTCTAAGTGCGCACAATAAGAGACATGTAATCTCTGGTACATATTTTTCGATACTTACTATTCCAGATCAATATCGTTCAAAGCTATGTAACATTTTCGTGGCTGCTATGATAAGAAAAGTAGAAATGAGCATTGAAGAAAATGGAACTACATTTCAAATAGACAATGAAACAATCCAGGTTAAATTTGTGTTATCAATAGTACAAGGTGATAACCTTGGTATTCACCAGTTACATCAGATTATGACTTTCAGTGCACATTTTTACTGTAGATTTTGCTCACGACCACGTGATCAGTGTCAAACTGATACTAAAGAACATTTTGAATGTCTTCGGACAGTCGAATCTTACAATTTTGACGTGAATCTTAATAAACCATCAGAGACAGGAATTAAAGGGCCATCAATATTCAATCAATTACCTTCCTTTCATGTTGTCGAGAATTTGTACGTTCATAAAACCGTGTTCAGTAAAATTGCTTTAGACATTTCCCTAGTAAGAATGCCAGACTTGAATGAGATGTTTTCACAGCAAACAAAAAGTGTTGTTATCAGGGCAACCGCTAGTGAGTTAAAAGCATTCACTCATTATTTCTCGTTCATCTTGGGCCTTTCGTTCCAAGTACAGATCTGGTTTGGCATTTTTGTAAAGTTTTGGTCAAAATTACAGATACAATTTTGTCGCCATTGTTCAATGAGATAGATTTACAGGAATTGCACCACCTCTGCTCAGAACATCACGAACTATATCAGTCACTGTTTAATCTGCGCCTTAAACCAAAACAACATTTTCTATGCCATTATAGTTCCGTTATTAATATGAGTGATACACACTTAGAAATAACTAACTTTACACGTGATGGAATCAATCTTTGACATAAAAGATGAGACGTAAACAAACATGTCATGTAATATTAAGTGCTGCGAGACTGAAAAGTTCGTTGCTCGACGAAAAGTACGTTTGATTGAGCTATATTTCGCGTCTGTTATGACTCAAATTTATGTCAAAATTGACGCTCGTATATGTCACTCTCAGAGCACCTAAATTTACATGAATTTTTCTAAGTGTGTAGTGTTATTTCAAAGATGAACTATCGATACGAAGCTAAGCTCAAAACCATTTAAGGAATATGCCCATGTTATTTCATCGAGGAAAAACATATGTTATACACTATCCCAAGTAACACCAAATGTTCCATATACATATTTGGAATCCTAGTGTTACTTTCCAAAATGTTTTCCAGTAAAACGCTTGAACTATTATTCCTTCTTCTATAAGATTAAAAAAGCGCAGAAGGTAGAGCCAATGAAACATCTTTATGTCACAGCATGTAATGTGTAATTTCTCTAACACTAAATAATATGTCATATAAAGCATTTCAACAAACATAATCTAAACTAACATATGCAAATTTTAGGTTCTCATTTTGTCCTATAAACTTTCCAGTAGACCAGAAATTACTTTTGATTTCTAAGGACCTTTCATAGATTTGAATAATGTATTTATTGTAGAAAGGTAAAAAAAAATTGTGTCATACATAAGTGTAGGCCGATTTGTCCGGAACATTTTTGTACGATTCAATTATTTGAAGAGAACAGAATTAATTATCAGTTAGGGTAATGAGCAAAAATTTAAAGTGCGCTTTCAAATTTTTGGTGGAATTAACAATTTTGCCTCTCAAAATGCAATGCGCCATTATTTTGTTCCTGATTCCAGCAAAAGTTTAAAAAGATTTTTGTCTTAGATTTTGCGTAATCATAAAATAGAACTTTATTTTATTTCTAACTGTAATTTCATACAGTGAAACAATGTTTAACCTGCTCATTGATAACACAAATAAAAGAAACAGACAGTTTATTTGATATAATTATAAATGATTGTTTTATTTTTTATCACATCAATATGGAGAAAACGCACAGCGCATGCTGCAAATTTTGATATATCTTTAAAAAACAGCTCATTCCCAGCTTAATGACATGTGAATTTGCACGAGGTTTTTATTTATATTTGTTACAGACACGGTCAAAATGTGAAAAATGAATCCTAAGAATTGTTTTACTGTATGAGACAAACAATTGTGGAAAAAAATCAAACGTTAAGGTAATTTCACCAAGAAAAAAAAAGAAGCTAATTCATGAGGCTAAAAAAACAAGATCCCATGAAAGTAATCCAAATGCAAACACCGCATGCTACATAAAAACTCGCATAAAATCTTTCAATATAAAAAAAACATACCGATTAAAAAAATTTAAATGGTATCTAACGTGCTAATTGAACATATTGATTAACAATAACATTCATCTAATTTTAACCTCAGATAGCCTAGTTGGTAATGGCATTTTGGTTATTGATTTTAAGATTCAAACAGAGGACCAAAGTTTAGTGATTATTTTTGCACGCTGATTGACTTCCAGTGTATCAAAATTGATGAAATTTTGAATTTCAGAATAGAACACTATGTTGAGAGCAGGCAAAAGCTCGTGTTAAAGCATCAAAGCCAGACATGGAGAGATTTGTAGCTTTTTAAAAACTGATTAGAAATTATGTTATTTTCATATCACTGTCCTATACTGGAAACTTTAGTCGGCAGTGTGTTTTGAAAAACCCTAATAACCAGAAATAGTTGATTTAGTTTTTGATGTACCTGAATGTCTAGAATGATCCAAAATACGACATTCTTAGGACATTTCCAAACATATTCCAGATGGAAAAGATGTAAGTATTCCATGTTTATGTAACTAGAAAAAAAACTTTAATAGGACTGGTAAAAAACATATTTAGCGTATTGAGCAATCATTCCAAACACATATGTAACAGATTGTCAACGAAATTTAAATATGACTTTAAAAAAAACATATTTGGCTACTACCGATTGGCTTTCTGTTGTATTGTTTACACCTATTAAATGTGAAAAATGTCGTTTCTCGTTGTTCAAACATGGAAATCTAAGAAATCCAAACCAAGTTTAACAGTGGTTCCCGCAAAATGGGTTTATATGGGGGTTTATAAAATTCATAGAATAATTTTTCACCAGATAACTTATGGATGCTGTTACAAAACATTTGCAGGCTATGCAAAATCTTTGTTATGGTTGATTATGTCTAACCTGCCAAACGAAATGTACCACATTATTTAATACACATAGACTTTTATTTGTTTTGATGAAACATATTTGACCATACTTCTGGTTTGTACACTGAAACATAAAATACTTGATTCGTGATATTTGTCAAACAAAATATGTAATCAAAATTTTATTCTTTTACAAACGTGTTTTCGAATACATGAGTGATGCCAATTTAAAACAAACAAATTTACAATCCTAATGGATTCGTGCGCTTATGTTTTCTATTGCACTTATCACACATTAGTATGACTCAATTATTAAAATAGTACTGTTGTAGTACTTTTATACGACAAACTAAATACCATACCATTTGAAATTATGTTTTTAGTGTTGCTTGGGATGTATGGAAGCCGCTCTACAATTCACTCATGATGTTTTAAATAAAGATTTTTTTTTAAATCTTCGATAGTAGAATCAGTGAAACCATGTAGTTTGGAGATGAAAGATTATTTCAAGAATATTTCTCCACCGTATCCAATCCAGTTTGGTATAAACTAACAAGAAGCATCTCATCTAAAATACAAAGGTACTATATATGAAATAACAGTAACCGAGCAGCTGAGGATACAATTATTCGATTTTATAGATCTTCTGATCTGTGATGCCAGCGTTTTTATAGTAGGACTGTCATGGACCGTAGGATTGTTTGATGAACATTTTTTAGCATATGAAACACTCGAAAAAAGTCGCGTTTACACTATTCTCAATATCGATGAAATTGATGGTCCACCGATTATGCCACACAACATTAATAGCAAGATGTATTTTCGTAAAAAGCATGATTTCGATACAATGAATGTTTAAATACCAACTTTACTTCTGTGTACTGCAGAATGTTTATATAAGGATGTATAAATAAGATTTTGTAAAACTAGTATTAAGTAAAATTTCTCTGTACCAACTTTAATATGTGTAGTATTATAAATGATGCAAACAATTAAACTGTTTTTTGATACGCTAGGACTTCCAATTCTCGCTTTCAATCGTTTTTTTACATTAAAAAATTGGTGGTTAAAACAATTTAATTAATCCTCTCGTATACCATAAACCATACCATGAATATTATGTGCGAGATTTATAAAATTATTACTTTCTTCGATATAGTATTCATGTGCCGGCTCAATAGAAACTATTTGACGTCTGCTAAAGAGTATATTTGATTGCGCTTGAAATGTATAAGTCTATGTTATGAAATTGTTTTGACAAGGTTTATTCATGTCATATGAATTGCGCATACACTCTATGCGAAGATAGCAATGGCAAAAATCTACACGGTAAGAAAAAAGTACCCAAAAGTAAGTTCTTTTCATACATCTCGGCACTTTACTG